AAAAATAGTATGCTTTGCTCTGTATCCAAACTCCATCAGTATTTTCTCTGGAGGTGGATAGCATTTTCTTCTTAAGTACTTTGTACTTGTCTTGGATCATTGTATTGCTGATAATAGCTAAGTCATTCACAATTACATTGTGACACAAGGTTACTGTTACTGTATACAATGGTCTCTTGGTTCTGCTCACTGCCCTTTGCATCAATTCATACAAGTCTTTCCACTGGGTTTTTTGCTTGTTTGTTTGTTTTTTGTTATTCAGTTGTTTCAGTTGTGTTAGACTCTCCATGACCCCCCCCCCTTTTATTTTTTTGCAAAGATACTGGAGTACTTTACATTTCCTTCTCCAGCTCATTTACAGATGAAGAAATTGAGGCAAACAGGGTGAAATTACTTGCCCAGGGTCACACAGCTAGTAAGAGTCTGCACTCAGGACGATGAGACTTGCTGATTCCAAGCCTGTAGCTCTATCCACTGAGCCACCTTCAAATGATGACTTTTACTCATGAGAGATCATGAGTAATTGGTACAATAGGCTAGAGACAGGTGAATGTCTCAATTTCTAAAAAAAGAGGAAGTGAATGGAGTCTGCAAATCCCAGACTGGTGTGTTGCCTTCAATCTCCAGGAGACCTCAAAGGCATTAGAGATCTCTCTGCCTCCACTTTGCCATCTTAGCTCTTTGGATTGCTGTTTTCCCTTGGATCTAGGATGGCAATCTGGAGAGAGACTGGCAGAGTGCCTTCTGATAGACCTGGTACACAATCATCGACCATCACTATCAACAGTCAATTTGGGGTGTTGGTCATTCTAGATGGCTTTGGGGAAGGAAATTCTGTGACAGGATAACCCACCTCCCCCAACAAGCTCCTCCAGAGAGAGGGGAACATTCTCCCACAGACTGCACACTATAGTGGGAGAGAGAACCCACGGAGGGGCAAGGGCATATGTAGAAAAAGTAAACAAGCACGGAGAGAGCCCCGCTGTAGTGTCCTGGACATTTAAAAATGATTCTCGTACATTTGCTGGCTCTGATAATAGCCATCCCTACCCTGTCTGCCTCAGTTTCCTCATCTGTAAAATGAGCTGGAGAAAGAGATGGCCAACCACTCCGGTATCTTTGCCAAGAAAACCCCAAATGGGGTCATGAAGAGTCAGACACGGCTAAAACAACTGAACAACTGAACAGTCTGGGGGAGACTATAGACCTGTGTGAGAAAGGGGATTCACCAGCTTGGCAGTGGCCTTCCGCTAGACGAGCCCCAAGTTCTGTTTCCTTGGTGGAGAGGGGAGTAGATGGTGGGCATATGGAAGTCTTAAGTTTCTGTGTTTGTTCATGGATTCCTATAAGTCCTCGGTATCTTTTATATTCTCTGTAGGGTAAAATCAATGATCTTCCACACCCAACATCCATACTTTACGTTGTGTATTGTGAGGGTATTGGGAACCCCATCACTCACACATGGGAGAATCTAGGCATGAGCTTCACCTAAGATTTGGATAAAATGTTTTTCTGCACATACTCCAGGTGGGATCACAGGCCCAAAGCACAACACCAGCCTCTTTGAGGGAATAGCTCTAGAATCAGAACCAATCCATGCCAGCCCAAAGTCCTTGGGGGAGCCTTTGGGCCATGAGAGACGTCTTAGCTGAAGGGAACATGTCCAGCCCATGTAAAAAAACAATTCTTTGGTATTTTTGTTCTCTAACAAGATTAGTGTTTTTTCCCCTTCCCACAGCCTTTCCCTTGGTGGCTGACATAATCGGAATTGAGGTTGGTGAGGATAATGCAGGTATGCTCTGGCCTCACTGTCCCAGAGTCAACCTGGTTAGTCAGGGGTGGGGGGGGGCATCTTCTCTAATGCTATTAGCCTGGGCCCCAATAGGCTGTGCTCCCTCCACTGTTAACTGCCAATGGCCAGCACCCAGTGCTCTCAGTAACAACTAGCTTTTACAAAGGGATGTTTACTTCAAAGATGTAGTAAAAACAAAAATACGAACATTTCTCCTCAACACCTGGGATGGATGGTACATTTTCTCCTGCACCACCTTAGTCTCTGGTGAGAATGAGTTTGTAATTAGCAGTTTCTACTTAGTACTGGTCACTCCTCATTCCTTTGGGAATCAACCGCTGGGCTGGCTAAAAAACCCAGAATGCACTCTGGACAACTGGACAGCTCAGTTACAACCTTGTGACCTTTAGACACTCACAAGGTCACAGCCTCCAACTATTTCACCAAAACCAACACATATAGAGGACACCAGGAACAAAGGATGGAGACTTCTTTTCAAGGGGCCACACTTTGGCCTCAGAGACAGAAGGTGGAGGTTTCTCCCCTTATGGTAACTGTCACTAGAACCCATCAAAGAAGGAGAGAGGAAGACGCCAAGGCTGATTAAAGCCTTTAGAAGATGCCATCTGCTTCAGTCCAACAACTTCAGTCAGTCAAAGTCTAGAACCAGGCACAGTGTCGACACATGCTCAGAAGCCTCACCAAGGCACCGTGACTCTCCTGAAATCAGACTCCCAGCCTCTTTTGCTCTGGGAATTGCCTCAGACAAACACTGCCTGTCTGTTACAAAAAGTTAGCTGGGTGAATGGGAGTAGAAAGGCCAGAAGCTTTTGTCCTCTCCTCCAATTTCTTCTTGAGTCTTGTACCGAGATCCTGGTCAAGTTAGGATCATAATTCCTTCCCATCAAGAACGAGGTGTTCCCCCCTCCCCCAAATCTAGAAATCTCTTACTTCGCCTCCATTCTGACACTCTAGCCAAAGTAGCTGACTCCTTATCTCCCTCCTCCTTATGCTCTTGAGCTTTAACGATGATGTCACCACTGCCGAGGCAAGTCTGGAGGTGGGGGTGGGGTGGGGACTGCACAGACAAGATGGGGCCAAAGGGAGACAAAGAGAATAGCTCAGAAAGACCACAGTTCCTCCTGCTCAGTGGATTTATAGAAAAGGAGGGGAGAGAGAAAAGAAGAGAGAGGTAGAGAGAGGTGAAAAAATCAGATCTTTTTTCCATTTGTATCCCTTAGCTGTGCTTGGTACATTTTTCATAGCTATTTGTCGATTGATTGTTTAAATATCAGAAGGGCTGTCATTGGGAAGAGGAAATGTTCTGCTCGGCTAAACTAGAAGTAATTACTGGGAGACCTCCCTGGGCCTCAGTTTCCTCTCCTGTAAAATGAGGAGATTGGACCAGAAGGCCTTAGAGGTCCCTCCTAGGTTAATATTCTTGACCCCACGATTCCCTGATTTGTGCACACGCGGAGGGCATGCTTGATAAAGGCAGGAGAAGGGTACGGGTGGACTTCCATGGACAACTCTCTAAAGTTGACCAAATGAATGAGTGAGAGAAATAAATGTATGAATGAATGAATGGAAGGCATTTGAGAAGTGCTCACTATGTTCCAGGCTGAGTGCTGGGGATACAAAGTTACCCTGAAGAAGTCCTTGCCCTCAGGGAGCTTGTGGTCTAATGAGGGAGGCAGCCCGTGGAGGGGAATGGCAGTCAAGAGTGGGAGTTTTGGTCCGAAGCATCGTAGGGATGGGGAGTTGATGGGCCCCACTGATTTGATCACTGGGCCCAGAGCCTGAGGTGGAAAGGCTTGCAGGGTGTGTGTCCTGAAGACCGGGCAGGGAGCCAGCTGGCCTGGGAGGATGGCTGGATGGGGTCTGCAGTGTGCACAGAGGCACACAATTGCCTGAGAAAAGGAGGGAAAGCAAAATCCTGCTGAGTTTGCTACTGATCACAAAAAAGCATTTGACCCAGAAAAGTAAGCACAGGCTTGGGGGACTCACCTGCAAGAGGGTGTCCCCCAGGTATGTATGAAGACCCTAGAGGACTAGGTGAGAAATCCAGAGGGAGCACCTACCTCCCAGGGCAATTGTGAGGATCAAATAAGATATGTTAGATGCTGGCTCAGCATAGTAGATAGTGCAGTCAGGAAGTCAACGAGCACTTATGATGTGCTTACTGTATGCCAGGCATTGTGCTAAGTGCCAGGACACAAATAGAAACAAAAAGAAGGATAGTTGTTTCCCTCAAGGAGCTGACATTCTAATGGGGGAACATAACACCTGAGGGGAGCTGAAAAGGGGGCTGAGGGGAATATGCCACAGTCTGCTGGGGAAGCCCAGACAATGGCTACTGTGGGTCCTTCCTAAAATGGAGGTCCCAGGAGCAACTCACCAATGGGAAAAGGGGAAGAAAGCAGCCGAAGTATAGAAGACCCAAGTCGAGACACTTACTAGCTGGGTGACCCTGGGCAGGTTGCTTTACTGGTGTCTGCCTCAGTTTCCTCAACTGTAAAATGGGGATCCTAATAGGACCTACCTCCCAGGATTGTTGTGAGGATCAAATGAGATCATATCTGTAAGCATTTTGCAAGGTATAAAGTGCTACATAAATATTAGCTATTGTTGTTATTATTGATTAATTAGTTCTATTTCTATTACAGAAGGAAAACCAAAGCTTATAAATTCATTAAAAAGTCCCCCGGCGGGGGGGGGGGGGGGGGGGGTTTCCAACCACAGAAGAGCTCTGGAAAGCAGCTGGGCCCTCCTGAGGCCACTCACTGCCCTTAGGGAAAGGAGTCAGACGCCCAATGGAACTGGAACATGGGAATAAGGAAAGGCCCCAGGTGGCAACCAGGCAGCGGATCCTTCTGGGAAGTGATTTGAGCCCAGGATTCAGAAGAGGTGAAATGAAGGCTGAGGACATTGCCCGGACCCGGGGCCGTACCAGTGCCTGGAGGAGACAAGATAAGCTCTCCCACATTCAAGCTAGCCTCGGCCTTGCTGGAAGGGTAGGGGCCACAGACACCAGAGATGAGAGCAATAGGTCAGCTAGGGCGCCCTGTCCTCCCACAATCCTGTGAAGTGGGCAGGGCAAGGATTCTTCAGAGCCTCCTGTCAAAGAGAAGGAAGCCTCAGCTTGGAGAGGTTAAATCCCTTGCCCAAAGGCCGGAATCATAATCCCTGAAGTCTCGAGTCTGGAGGGATGCTGGAGACCATCGAGGCTAAGCCAGACCTGGACCAGAACTCCCCAAGGCTCATTCACCTTTACCTGAAGACCTACAGGGGCTGGGGTGCCCATGAGCTCCAGGGGCAGCCCATCCCGCTTTTGGATAGTTCTACAGGACACAATTGTTATACGTTTTTCCTGACCCTAAGCTGCCTTCAGGGCTCAATCCAGGAGCCATTATGATTGGGAGAGGGTGGGGGGAGGGGAGAGAGTTCCCAGGACCAGCCTTCTTCCCATCCTTCTTGTTCTTAAATTGTTGTTTAGTCGTTTCAGTGTGTTCGACCCTCTGTGACCCCATTTGGGATTTCTTGGAAAAGACATTAAAGTGGTTTGCCAAACAGGGGGAAGTGATTGCCCAGGGTCACATAGCTACTAAATGTCTGAGGATGAATTTGAACTCGAGCCTTCCTGACTCTAGGCCCAGTACTCTAAGTGCCCTCAAATTGTATTTATTTAATATTTTATATCTACTCATCTGCGTGCACATTGTTTCCTCTCAGTAGAATGTAAGCTCCTTGAGGGCAGGGACTGTTTCAGTTTTGACTTTGTATCCCCAGCCCCTGGCATGGTACCTGATGTACCATAGGTGCCTAATAAATGTTTATTGAGTTGAACTGATGGTGAAGGCATGTAGGTGGCACAATGGATAGGGCGCTGGATGAGGTCGGGAAAAGGTCCCTCAGATGCTTACTAGTGGGGTGACTCAGGTCAAGTCACTTCGCTTCTTGGTTTTTATCTGTTAAATGGGGTGCATGTGTGTGCAATAATAGCATTTGTACCTCCCAGGGTGGGTGAGAAGATTAAATGAGATGATATACGTAAAGTGTTTTGCAAACCTTCGAGTACCGTATAAATGCCAGCTATGAGAAAGACAAAACAAAAGGCTCAGAAATGGTAGCCGCCCATAGCAGAAATTTGGCTGATTTAATGTCTGCTTCCCCGAGGAGTCATGACTAAGGATGTCAGCCATATGGCTCACTCTTCTACTCTTCTTATCTGGCACAAGGTGCACCCCGGGCAAGATGCCACGCAAATGACAGAGTGTGTAAAGTTCACCCCACGTAGGTGTTTTATGTACGAGCCTTGTATGCTGCCTATCATGTTCAGCAGGCAGGTGTATTGTATGTGCACGGAATACGTGGTATCTATTGCAGTTTGCAGGGGCTAGATGTTTTTTGACTGGGGGAAGAAATGTCATGGAACCTAGGATCTTTCCCCAATAGCCTGCTGTCTTCTCTTCTTGGTTTAAGAGACCGGCTCTTGTTCGGGCCCCCATCTTGGACTATCACAATAGACTCCAGTCTTTCTCCTTCCTGATCTAACCACAGCTGCCAAGATAATCTTCCTGAAACAGGCTCCTTCCTCAGGAAGCTTCAGTAGCTCTTCTGTCCTCTAGGAGAAAAACCCTTCTGCTCAACACTTAAAGCCCATTCCAGTCTGGCCCCAGCCTACCTTTCCATGTTTAATGCACATTTTCCCCCTTCTTGATCTCTAAGCTTGAGTCAAACCGTCCCACTAGAAATCCCAAGTGCAGAACATTCTACTCCTCCCTTCCAATGCTTTTCCTAGGTTGTCTCCCAGCTGAAATGTGTTCTCTCTTCACTTCTACCAATTAGAATCCTATCTTTCCTCTTGGCTCACCTAAGAAGCCAGATCTTCCAGGAAGGCTTTCCCTAATTGTCAGTGTTCTCTCTCCTCAAATTTGATGTATTGTGTTTATCTCTTTAAGTTGTAGGATACAAGCTGCTTGAAAGCAGGACCTCTAAAAAATTTTCCTCTTTATTATTTCCTGAGCCTACCATAGAAATGCTTCACAAATCCTTGTTAGATGAAAAAATGAATGAGAAGAAGTGATTTGGGCTGGAGGAGATGCTCAATGATGGGAAGGGCTGGCATTGGTGGAGAATGGAGAAAGAGCCAGGAAGGAACAGAGGCACCTGGAGCTTGGGACAGGGCTATGTAGATCTCCTCCTCATCTTCTGCTGTTGTGGGAAAAATCCTGGATGTGCAATTGGAGGACCTGGGTTGGAATCCAGTCTTGGGTACTTGGAACCTGTGGCACCTCGGGAAAGCCAGTGCTACTGTTAAGCCTCACTTTCCTTCTCCAGAAATTGAGGAAATTGGACTATGTTCTAGGATCTCCGTGACCTTTGAATGGAGATGTCCCTGAAAGACCAATGAACCCTAGAGACTAGTTCTAGCTTTGTCTGAGAAATTGTGTGGATGATAGAGCTGGGAATGGAGAAAAAAGTGCCCTTTGTTGACCAGCACCATTGATTAAACATCTACCATGTTGGTGAGCTGCCTATGTATGGTGAACTTAAGGGAGGAGAGAAGGAGGGAAGGAACAAAGGAGGGAAGGAAAAATAAAAAAGAGAAGATGAAAGGAAGAAAGAATGGAAGGAAGGAAGGTGGGAGAGAGGAAAGGAGGGAAGGATTTATTAAGCACTTACTATATGCCAGGCACTGTGCTAAGCGCTTTACAAACAAATCATTGGAGGATTCATTTTTGGATTTGGATTTAGGATTCATTGAGGATCATTCAATCCTCACAACAACTCTAGGAGGTGGGTGCTATTATTATCCCCATTTTACATCTGAGGAAACTTTAATGACTTTCCCAAGGTCCCAGAGCTAGTAAGAGTCTGACGTTGGATTTGAACTCAGGTTGTGCTGACTCTAATCCCAGTACTCTCTCCCACTGCAGTGCCATCAGCTAGGAAGATACAGACAAGAGTTACAGAGAATGGATGGGTATGGGCGTTGGCCATAGAGCCATTGAAGTCTGTTCCAGACACCATCCTAGGGGCTGAGAGTATAAAGCCAAAACAAAACCAAATTCCCTTATCTTAAGGAGCTCACTTTCTGACATTCTTCAAAGAGCGGAGCCAGGGCAAAGCTAGGGTTTGTGGGGGAGGCAGCCTCTACCGGAGAAGTCTTCCTATTGGGTCCTATCAGTGACCCTCAGAATTTCTGTTCATCTGTGAGACACTCCTTCTAGGTTTCCATTTTGCATTCCTCAGGCAGGGCCCTGGGGGCATCCGAGTCTCTGGCACAAAGGTCACCCATCCATTATAAGATCTGAGGGGACTGAACAATGAGGGCTGGTCTTTAAGTACACTAACTAGGTTTTGCCTTCCTAGTGACTGATAGAGAATAAGGTAAATAAGTATTTCCTGCCTGGTTCCAATCCAACACATAGATTATTAGTGGAGCTGATTTCTAGCCATGACTGACTGAGTGGTGGTTACAGTACGATGATGAAACATCTTTTTTTTAAATTAAAAATTTCAAATAGCAAAAGATCTGTCTTCTCTTTCCTCTTCCCTCTCAATTGAGAATGAACAAAAAGCAAAATCCCTGTCACAAGCAAAGAAAATTTCTACATTAACCATTTCATGTGTTTGTATTTGTAGATGTATAGATATAGATATCTCCCAGGTTTTTCTGAAACCATTCAATTCATGATTTCTTTTTCTTTTTTATTGTTAATTTTTCTTTTATTTTTCCTCTCAATTACACAAAAACAAAAACTTTTACCCTCCATTTTAAAAAAAGTTTTGAGTTCCAAATTCTCTGCCTCCCACCCTCCTTCCCTCTGTCTCCCCCTTCCTACTCTCCTCCTCGAGAAGTCAAGCAATTTGATATAGATTATATGTGTTCAGTCATGCAAAACATTTCCACATTAGCCATGTTGCAAAAGGGAAAAGGGACCCCAAAACACAAGAATAATAAAGAAAGTTTCAAAAAAGTATGCTTCAATCTGTATTCAGACGTCATCAGTTCTTTCCATCGTTCTATTTCTTAGCCAGTAACAGATTGTTTTGATGATTACCGTTTTGTAATACAGTTTGGGATGTGGTACAGCTTGACTACCTTCTTTTACATTTCTTTCATTGATTCTCTTGATATCCTGTACCTTTTGTCCTTCCAGATTAATTTTGTTATTTTTTTTGAGCTCTATAAAATAACTTCTTGGTGGTTCGATTGGTATGGCACTAATAAGTAGATTAATTTAGGTAGAACTGTCATTTTCTTTATGTTAGCTTGGCCTCCCCGTGAGCAGTTAATATTTCTGCAGTTATTTAGATCTGACTTTTATTCGTGTGAAAAGTGTTTTGTAATTGTGTTCACATGGTTTCTCAGTTTGTCTAGGCAGGTAGACTCCCCAAAATTTTATATGGTCTACAGATATTTTAAATGGAATTTCTCTTTTTATTTCTTGCTGCTGGATTTTGTTAGTAATATATAGAAATGCCGATGCTTTAGGTGGGTTTATTTTGTATCCTGCAACTTTGCTCAAGTTGTTGATTATTTCGAGTAGTTTTTTCAGTTGATTCTCTAGGATTCTCTAAGTCTACCATCATGTCATCTGCAAAGAGTGACAGTTTTGCTTCCTGGATGTCTATTCTAATTCCTTCAATTTCTTTTTCTTCTCTTATTGCTATAGCTAGTATTTCTAGTACAATATTGAATAATAATGGTGATAATGGGCATCCTTGTTTCATCCTTCATCTTACTGGGAAGGCTTCTAGCTTATCACCATTATAGATAATGCCTGCTGATGGTTTTAGATAGATACTACTTACCATTTTAAGGTAAGCTCCACTTATTCCTGTGCTCTCTAGTATTTTTAATAGGAATAGGTGCTGTATTTTGTCAAAAGCTTTTTCAGCATCTATTGAGGTAATCATATGATTTCTGTTGGTTTTGTTATTGATATGGCCAATTAGCTAATAGTTTTCCTAAGGGAGCTCTTTGATGGCTTGTTCAATTTCTTTTTCTAAGATGGGATTATTTAAGTATTCTATTTCCTCTCCTGTTAATCTGGGCAATTTATATTTTTGTAAATATTCATCCATTTCACCTAGATTGTCAGATTTATTGGTATACAATTGGGCAAAATAGCTGCTAATAGTTGGCTTTAATTTCTTCTTCGTGAGTGGTGAATTCACCCTTTTCATTTTTGATACTAGTAATTTGGTTGTCTTTTTTTAATAAAATTAACCAATGGTTTAGGTATTCCCCTCCCCCCCCAAACCCAGCTCTTAATTTTATTTATTA